TTTCTCTTTACATTTTGCATAGGCGGATCCAGTGTGTGTGTGTTTGTGTGCGTGTGTGTGTGTGCGTGCAGGGGTGCGCACCCCCCTTTTGTCCTGAATGTTTGTTAAATGACCATAGAAACTCTCGTGAAAATAAAGTGTGCACCACCCACCCTTCTCAAAATTCTGTATCTGCCCCAGTTTTGTTTTAGATATTTCCATATATATGCTACTACCGCTGTGACAGTGACTCTGAGTGAGGCGTGTCACAAAAGTGTGAAGTTATTGGTGTCCCCCGCCGTGATGTTGCTGGAATATTGCTAAAAGCGGCGTAAAGCCAAACTCAGTCAGTCAGTCAGTGAAGTTATTGTCGCCAACTCTCCGTGGGGCTTCGATGACAGCACGTGAAAAAATGACAGCACATGAAAAATGCTTTCATTTACATATGTTTACATTGCAAAAACAGGTGTAAAACAGATGCAATTTCTTGAATGGACTGAGATGTGACTATCGTCACATGGCGGCTGCCTGTGGCAGTGGTACTATGCTGGTCGCATTGAACTCTGGGTGTGAATATGACCCACTGGTACACACGTCGGTCACGTATGTTCAGTGACGTCACAATGCAGCGAGGTCACGCCAGTCCTCATAGGTAACTGTTGTATCGCCTGAGGAACACATGGCTACCACTCGTCATGGATGTAACAATGCAGGTTTGTCTTCCGTCGTACGTTTACTTGTGTGATACTCCGACTTTTACTTTCACAGCACAGGGTATTACACACCGACTTGTTGGTGTGGGGACTGATTGTATTGATATCATCCTCATTCATGATGAGAGTTTGACCAACGTTCATTTGTCCCACTTCTACTACTTATGTCATTTCAGAATTATGCCATTTAATTATCATTTTTATTCTCGCCATCGATCTCGATCATGAAAAACACGCACATGTTGCCTTCTTATGTTTTCATACTCTTTTTATACGTCCATTGCTCGTTTCAATACTGAACAAAACAATTTAATCACTGTTCCTAATATTTATCTGGCATTGTATTATAAAAATAAATCGTACATGTTGAAGTTCTTAATTTTTCATCCGCTCATTTGTCTAACGTCCATTGGTCATTTATTACTGAACTGACCAATTAAATATTTGTTCCTAATTTTTTTATCAGATTGTTAAAAAACATCACATGTATGAGTTATTATTCTTTTCATTCGATTGATTATCCTACTTCCACTGCTTATGTCAGTACGGAACGTATCAGTTTATATACCGTTCTTGGCTGTAGATTGCTGAAATACGTGTACTTGGTTGAGTACATATTTACTGCTTTATACTTCATCATGTTGTTTCTCCGCTATCATCAAGCGAAATCCCACCTTCATACATATGCTCGTAGGTATGATTTAACTGTTAAATGTTCATACCAGTCTCCGGTGTTCTAGCCTAATGGTTAAAGCGTTGGCTCGTCACGCCGAAGACCCGGGTTCTATTCCCCACTTGGGTACAATGTGTGAAGCCCATTTCTGGTGTCCCCGCCGTGATATTGCTGGAATATTGGTAAAAGCGGCGTAAAACCATACTCACTCACTCACTCACTCATACCAGTCTCCGGTGGTCTAGCCTAATGGTTAAAGCGTTGGCTGGTCACGCCGAAGACCCGGGTTCTATTCCCCACTTGGGTACAATGTTTGAAGCCCATTTCTGTTGTCCCCGCCGTGATATTGCTGGAATATTGCTAAAAGCTGCGTAAAACCCAACTCATTCACTCACTCATACCAGTCTCCCCGTAACGGCTTGGGTGAAGGTAGCCTTCAGCCACTCATGCTTGGCTGTACCGTCGTCTTATGGGCTCGGGTGGTCAGACTGGCTGACGTTGTTCACACACGTCATCGTATCCCGATTGCGTAAGTCGATGTTCATGATGACAATCACCGGCTTGTCTTGTACAGACTATAATATTTACAGACCGCCGTCGTTGAACTGAAATTTGCCTAGGGCAGCGTTGAAACCTACAGAGTTCAAAATGTAGGACGCTTCTGGTAAGTGCCTTCTCATGCCAGCTCGTTAAGTCGAGATAAATGGTGACACAGTTTTCTTTAGGAGTCAAGCGATATAAACAGGGCCAAAAACTAGGATGCTGTTATAAGACTTGCACATAATTCAGTTATCACTGCGTGGAAGCTCCAGTTGAGTGTTAAAAATATTAGGGGCGGCGGGGTAGCCTAGTGGTTAAAGCGTTGGCTCGTCACGCCGAGGACCCGGGTTCGAATCCCCACATGAGTACAATGTGTGAAGCCCATTTCTGATGTTGCTGGAATATTGCTAAAAGCGGCGTAAAACCAAATCTCAGTCAGACAGTCAGTTAAAAATATTAACATGCAGTTCTTCTTCGCGTGTACTTCAATAGCTAAATATAGCTGTATGTTCAATCATATTCAGCACATAGTGTTGAGGTGAGAGGTTATTCAACTGACCAAGCTCTAGGACCGACTGACCACCTATAGCTACATAATAAAGATCTGTCTTTCAGTGATAAGATTGGTATACAACAACCCACGCTTGTCGGAAAAGGCCACTAACGGGATGGGGTAGTCAGGTTCTCGGAATTGTTATTGCATGGATCCCAGTCACATGTTTGTCTGGTCCAAATTCGACCCTTCACATACATACTGGACAAACTAAGTTAGGGATATTGGTATTTTTTTATGATTGGTACTTTATCAGTGTGTCAATGAATAAATAGATCATTATTCATAATTTCAAAATTTGCATATATCCCTGACTATTTTTGTCCAGTATAGTTGTAATATTGCTGAGAGCGACGATAAATAAGAAACAAATTATTCACACTAGATATTACTTGGCTATCAAACCACATTTAACGTGTTCCATGCAGTCTCGTCGTGGCCTCTGAGTATAATGTGTGTGATATGTTTTCGGTGACGTTTCTATGAGGTGAGGTGAGGTGAAATTGGGTTTAACGTCGTGCTTGAGAATATTTCGCTCATATGACGACGTGCATGCGTGTGTATGTGTACGTGCGGCTGCTTGTACTAGCCCAGACTGAAGCTGGTTTTATAGTGCTAGCCCACTGAGATACCATGCCGCAGTGAAGCATGAATACCCCATTCAGGCACATTATACTGACTCCGAGCCGACCAGTCCTTGTTGTACCCATTAATGCCGAGCGCCAGGCAGGGACCAACAAGTACCATATTTTAACGTCTTTTGGTATGACGCGGTCGGGGATCGAACCCGCGACCTTCCGCTCTCCGGGCGGACGCTCTAACCACTACACCACGGAGGCGGTTCCGTTTCTATGAGCATATGCCACTTTAAGTATACCGTTGAACATTGGCATCAAACTATGAATCGTAGTCCTGATTACTGAGAGACATACTGATTGAAGTATAAGCAAGAGATTGGTTGGCTTCTGTTTGATGCAATATTCCAGCTCTAAAACGCCTTACCCGTGAAGGTCCGGGTTAGAATATTGATCTTCAGTAACCCATACTTGTCGTAAGAGGCGACTAACGGGATCGGGTTGTCAGGCTCGCTGACCTGGTTGACACATGTCATCGGTTCCCAATTCCCGGATTGTCTGGTCCAGACTCGATTAGTTACAGACCACCGCCATATAGCTGGAATATTGCTGAGTGCGGCGTAAAACTAAACTCACTCACTCAGCATTAAACAAATCATGCACGCGACGGTGGTTATAGTCACATTCACCCGTGCCGGGGTAGACTTGGTCTTCAGTTACCCATGCATGTCATAAGAGGCGACTAACGGGATCGGGTGGTTGACACATGTCATCCTATCCCAATTAGCGTTAAACAACAAACCAACCAGCTATATCCCCATTAGACAAAAGGATCGTAACGAATCGACTGTCAAATGTTAAGTATGACCGAAGGGGTCATCGGCACGGATAGGACAAATGCACCCCAGGAACTTTTCTGTATATACAGATGTACCCTACTCAGATTATGAACACAAATCGGTATCCTTAAACGAGTCCATTCGGCACTGAACAGTGCCCTAAATCGTCTCTTTAATGCGAATATGGAAGATATTGTTTGAGCACCGGAAGTCAGCCAGTGAACCAAATCAGCGAGTCTGGCCGCCGATCCCTCCTCTAAGGGCAAGCATGGGTTGCTGAATCTTGTATGAGATTCCAACCTGCTTTATATAACAGAGACCCATGAAGATCCGGGTTAGAATTGATCTTCAGTAACCCATGGTTGTCGTAAAAGGCGGCTAAAGGGTTAGGGTGGTCAATTTTGCTGACTTGCTTGACCCATGACATCGTATCCCAGTTGCGTAGATCGGTGCTCATGCTGTTGATCACTGGATTATCTGGTGACTATATAATAAAAGAATACCCAGTGAAGTACGCATAGAAGTCTTGTATTCCGAAGTACATCACGAACCTAAATATGCACCCATAATCAGGCAAACCGGTGCAACAACAACCAGTTTCGGTTTCGGGTTCGGGAAAATGGACTCGACTGACTTGGAGGGTACCGAGACTGTTCTGTATTCTGATTTTGGCGAGGGTCCGTATGTCTTTATATTGGAACACACCATATTAAGTACCCGTGCCGTAGACGATTTCAGCACCCAGCGGAGGGGTAGCGTAGTGGTTAATGCGTCCGCTCGTCACGCCGAAGACCCGGGTTCGATTCCCCACATGGGTACAATGTGTGAAGCCAGTTCTTGTGTCCCCCGCCGTGATATTGCTGGAGTATTGCTAAAAGCGGCGTAAAACCATACTCACTCACTGAGTGTGCGAGTTAAGATCACCTTAGCGTTAATGTCGCTTTGTGGAAAGGGACCCATTCCGAAGGGATCTTAGCATTAAGCTGATCGTAACTCCCATACGTTAACATAAACTTACGCATGTCGTAGTTCTAAGATCGTTTTGTGGAAGGAGAAGCTGGTACTTGAAGCTCTGCAAATCTTTTGTAAATCTGTTTTCCTAACTTATTGTTTTCTTGTCTGTTACAGACGTACATGTGGCACTCCCCCCGCCCCCATCTCTCTATGATGGGGAACGTGCAGGATGCGGGCCAGACACTCACGGAAAGGAGATTCTGGTGGGGAGGTCGGGTCTCAGTTCCAAACCAAACCCACACCGCCTTCGCGCGGGAGGTGATTAAGGCCGCCGAAACAGGGGACATCGGCAAGCTCCGAAAGCTATACTCATGCGTTCGAGGAGGTTTAGCCAAAATACAGTGCGAGACAACGCTGACCACGCCCCTACACGCAGCTGCTGCCAATGCCCACGGCTACGTGGTCAAATATCTCCTCAGCAAAGGAGCCGATCCCAATCTCCAGGACAGTTCCTCTGAAACTCCGCTGCACACAGCTGCCAAAGCAGGCGCTACAGAATGTCTCTTGTTGTTGTTGCAAGCCAAAGCTCTGGTTGAAATCGTTGACGCCTGGGGAAGGACCCCTTTGTTGAAGGCCGTCGTTTACAATCGGCCGAAATGTGTGCATTGGTTGTTGTCCGCTGGCGCTAGGACTAACGTACTGGACAATGATGGACTATCCCCCGTTCACGTAGCAGCAAGCTATGGGCAGGTGTCACTGTTGAGGAAGCTGGTCAAACATGGAGCAAAGCTGGACGTGGTCAATCGGAAAGGAAAGCTGCCCATATCTAAAGCTATCAACGCGGGCCAGGTCACAATGGTACAGGAACTCATCAACTATGGCGCGAGAACCTACCACAAAGATCACTGTGTCGTGAAAGACGCCATTTCCAAACTTGCTCAAAGCCATCCGGCCGCGAAGGAGAATGACATAGCTAACTACAAGATGGTTGAAACTGTGATATTAGCCCATGGCTACACACTTGACGAGGAAAACTTGGAACTATTTCTGTCCATATTTCGATCACTTGAGCCGAAATTATTCCTACCGATATTGATGAGGTTGGCATTGATGTCAGGGAAGCCAAAGTCAAGTTCCCCCTATCTATTATCGCCTCACCATGTCGACCAGCTCGAGAAATTTCTTCCCGACGACTTTAGATTATTCTCTCTACAGAACTTGGCAAAAAGAAAGGTTCGCTCTTGTCTGATGGATTCGGGACGGAACGTCGCATGGGCTAGTGCTAAACTTGACGTGGCACCAATGCTGATCAAAATTATATTATTACAAGATATATTTTGACACAACCTAGACTGTATATGCTGTTTGTAAGGACCTAACATGTACTATTCACACTTTGCTAAGGATCAGATTATTGATTCAACAGAAAACTATGATTGGGGGTCTAATTTGGTTTAAATACCTAAGCTTATTGTAAGCATGGATCCTAGGTTTCAGTATGTCACTGCATCTTGTGGATCCCATACCTGCTATTGACAGGTGTTGTTTACATGTCAATGACTCGTTCCATGATTTGCAAAATGGTTGATTGATGCCATGAAAACCATTTTTATGGTTATTCATGTATCAAGTGCATAAGATTAGATTAAAGTGGCTGTTTGCCTAAAGAAGTGTTACCATATTATTATTTATCAAGTTTTAAATGGATACAATTTCAAATTATAAATCTATGTTTAAGTAAAGTTGGGAATTTTTGTGATCCTTAGCAAAGTGTGAGTAGTATATGTATACTACTCAAAAGAAGATAAGGAACACCGAACTATTTTCATATTACTACAGCTGGTCTGTTGTGTCATCTCAGATTAACTATGGTGATATGGAAGATCGGGTTTGCAAACATTCATCTGTATTTATGGAGATACATTGACATTAATGACGTGCTTGCCTTAATAAGGTATAAATAACATTATATTCGGCTTACTAGCCAGCTACAGTACCCGTATCCCTGTGCTGCTCCTTCAAACGAGTGTGATGTTCACGCCTGTTTTCCTGACAGATCTCCTGTCCAGATCTGCTTCATCACGTCGTTATCTGCTGACAAAACAACATGGTTCCCTTCCTAAGACACCAGTCTTCAAACACGAGTACTGTGATTTTAGATCATGCCACAGTATATTTACCCATCAACGGAAAATCGAACCGATTAAGACCGCATTATTTTAACCCGTGAAGGTCCGGGTTAGAATTGATCTTCAGTAACCCATGCTTGTCGTAAGAGGCGACTAACGGGATCGGGTGGTCAGGTCCGCTCCTATGCTCATACTATTACTCAATGAATTGTCTGGTCCAGACTCAATTATTTACATACCGCCGCCATATAGCTGGAATATTGCTGAGTGCGGCGTTAAACAACAAACGAACTAAACTCACTCATTCACTCTTTTCCTGAGACACCAGTCTTTAAGCACGAGTACTTTAATGTTAGATCATGCCACAATATATTTACTCATTGACTGGAAATCGGACCGGTTAAGGCCGTTTCCCGCCATTAGCGGCTAAAACTCATACCCTGTCGATTCCAGTTTGATTTGTGCGCCGCGAAAATCTTGATCTGGGATCTTGATCGGAAATGCATGTAGATAAATCTGAAAGGAAGTGTTTGGGAAGCGGATAGTTAGTGTTACAGTCATCGTGGGTTAACGATTCATCATCCTTGCTGGCTCCGCATTCTCACAGCAGCCAATCAGCTAAGCCGCCGTTACATCCTAGCTTGCCAGTGTCAACAAAGGTCGCAGTCGCGAAGGTTTGTTCGCCGTACCTCTCAAATTTTGGGGGAAATAATGCAGACAAGTTGACAGATCTGAAACTTTCAAAATATATATAAAAGAACTCCTACATCTTTCAGGGTACCTGTCCATCAATTGTGTTGCCAAGTTTAAACGGTTAGATAATTTAAGAAGCGAAAGTGAGTTGTGATTGGTTCGCTCAACTTCCCAGCGTAGACACCTGATTGGATAAAAAGCCAGCCTAGGGAGGTAATAAAATCATCGGGCCAAGCCGTGGATGCATCCAGGGTATAGTGGAGAGTGATCGTAACGTATCCCCTGGGCCCCGTTCCTCAAAGCGATCGTAACCCTAAGATGATCGTAACTCCCATACTTTAACATAGACTTACGACAGTCGTAGCGCAACGATCGCTTTGAGGAACAGGGCCATGGAGATTATCGAGGATGACGATTCATGCACTTACGTGCTCATGTATACGTACGTACATATGAAATTACGCTATGCTACCGCTCCTAGTCCCTTTAGCGAAAATCACAGTCACTCCTTACAGGGAGCGTGTAACTAACGCATAGTCTTTGGTTATATATAATTTTCATAGAAACAGGGAACCCCCTTAAATTGAAAAGGAGCTCCAGTGAGATGGGAGACTGAGAACCTGAGGAAAATCGCGTCTTGTCATTTAGGGCTTTTACCTTACAGTAAGGTAAGTGAGTAAGTATGGATTTACGCCGGTTTTAGCAATATTCTAGCAATATCACGGCGGGGGACGCCAGAAATGGGCTTCGCACATTGTACCCGGGTTTTCGGCGCGACGAGCTAACGCTTTAACCACTACCCCACCGCCCCTCCTTACAGTAAGGGCTGGCCGGAACGGAAAATAATGTTTCAGGGACTGGGAGACAGACTAGAGCAGCTCAAGGATGCGGCTACGTATATAGCAGCTTCATTACCAGCATATGTAAACTGTACACAAAGTACACATGAAAAACGCGTTAACACGTGGCACTGATGGGTTATTTGCCCTTTGAACTCAAGGTCACAAGATACAGGCTACATGTTTGCGTATATTTACTGTATGATTAATAAAATTGATTTTGAAAGCCTCACATTTCTGCGTTATTTTGTATCTTAATAGGTATATCGGTCGTCTAAGGCTCTGCAAATCGCTGTGTAGCTTTGCGCCCCTTGGGCGAGTGAATGAGTCAACAATATTACAGTTATATGGCGTCGGAATGTAAATAGTCGAGTCTGGACCAGGCAATCTAGTGATCAACGGCATGAGCATCGATCTACGTAATTGGGATAGGATGACATGCGAGCCTGACCACCCGATCCCCTTAGTCGCCTCTTACGACAAACATGGATACTGAAGATCAGTTCTAACCCGGATCTTCACGGGTGGCGCGTCCCTTGGGCACACCGGACACCCGTGACCAACACAATCACCCTACAAGACCATTCCATTTAGTGGATACTGTGTCTGCAAGGACAGCGGTATATCGGACCCGCTGACAGTCATAATAAGAGGTGTTAAAGGATGGTATTTGTTGTTACCGTGCCTTGATGGAATGAAACCAGGACTGGTATGTTAGAGCCAGAATAATGTTTTGTGGGGATCCCAGCCTGGTTCCCGGGGTCTGCTGCGTTAACGCTTTCAACGATACTGACCCCGGCAGTGAATGGCGGCTATCACTGCTTAGCGACACGCCATATATACTCCTCACAAAAAATTAAGCAACAAGTATTTTCAGTGTAAGATCTTTATCAATCTCGACAGCAATTGTTGCCGACATGATACTGAAAGGTAAATATTCAAAGAATGCATAACCTTAAGTGACTGTCAAATTGATTTATCTGATAACATTGACAGCATCACCCGAACACAACCACCATCAGAAACAACATGCAAAATGTGTGGCATGAATGTGCTCCACTCTTCACACATGCACCCTGGTCGGTGTAAACCTACCTGTAATCATTCCTCTGGCACAACTAGCAGGTCCTAACGTCATTCTTATGGATGATAATGCCCGAGAAAGAGTTGTTTACGATGTTGTTTAGATCAGCTCACACATGGACTGGCCCGCAAGGTCACATGATCTTAATCTTATGTTTTAAGAGGTAGTCTAGTGGTATAAACGTTCGCTCGACACGCCGAAGACCCGGGTTCGATTCCCCACATGGGCACTGTGTGTGAAGCCCATTTCTGGTGTCCCCCTGTCGTGATATTGCTGGAACATTAGTTCAAACATATTTTATTCACAATGTGAAAAGGATCGGGGATAAGTTCTTTCAACTTTTATAACCCCTCTCCAAAGATATTTACAAAAACTAATTACATCACAAGCAATTATTAGAAACAGAGACAGAGTGAGATTGACAGTTCAAGGGAAATATTATAATACAAAAGGTGTATAGAGAGAAGACTTCTGGAATCGTTTAGATTCGCATATATATTTATGTAAATTTTTTGATATAATTTCATTTTTATGTTTTGTCAGATCTGCAGTGCAGTTTATAAGAACATAGTATAATCACAGAATTACTACCACAAACATCTTGAATAGCTTTAAGCATGATCTTTCTATGTTGATTGTAGAAAGAACATTCTAAGAAATAGTGATGAAATAGTGATTTTCGTACGGGTTCCCACATGCGCAGGATGGATCTGTACAGATCGTAACTTAATCTACTAGCTACATGAAGTAATTGAGTATATAATATGTTGAATGTTCTAATACCGTAACAAAAGTACAGTGGAGCTGAGTTATATGATGTAATTATGCACGATTTAAACTTTTATAGTGAAGTACAATTTCTTACCTCTGTAGATACATTGTTCCACATTGTTATAGTTGATGGGAAGAACGACTCATGAGAATTTTTTTATTCAGATATTGCCTGAATTTCTTAGATTCTATTGATTCCTGGAGCCCACGTACTGAGGAATTTTTCCTTAAAGGTAGATTGGACTTTTGTTGTTTTAAATATTATAGAACAAAGACAAGTTTCTTATTCTTCTGCGCTCTGATAGTGCTTCCAAGCCCGTTTCATAATAAAGTGAATTAAAAGAAGAATATTTGGGAAGTCCTGTAATAATTCTTACAGCTTCCATCTGGGGCCTTCCAATTCTTTTCCGCAGCCATACCAGCTTTCGCATGCGTACTCAAAGTGAGGTCTTATAAAACTGTGTAAATCTTTAGAAGTGTATTTTTATTAAAAATATATTTAAGTTTTCTCATGGAGTAAATCATTTTAGAGGTTTTGGATACAATATTAGATACATGGGAGGACCGTTTGCCGTTTGGTGAAAGTATTATCCCCAAATAATTGTGATCTTCTACCGTTTTAACAATCTTATCGTCGAATAATAAGTTAATCAAGCAAATATTATCCTTAAGTGAGAAAAGTAATGATTCTGTCTTATCTGGGTTGTATGATATCAACCACTGTTTGCCCAATTACACACGAGATCGAGGCAAAGTAGTTATTTAAAAATTCAGCTTTATCAATATCTGAGAAAAGCAGCGGGTCATCATCATTAGGATATTGTTTGAGA